CAGTCCCCTCCGTCTCTGGACTTCAGCTTCCTCACTGGTCATTGCGACAAGACACAGACGAAATGGAAAACCCCTTAGGGTCCCGTATGCTGCCGGTGATGCAGGAAGTCGGAGGAGTCTGGCCTTTGGGCTGTGAGCTGCTCTCTGAGGGCAGTGCGGGGCCGTGTTTCCAGCGGCACCGCCATTGGCCTCGGCAGCTGCAGAGCCCAGCAGAGGCTGCCAGCAGAGGGGGCCAGCCTCCTGGAGGGGGGCCAGGGGACAGTGCCAGAGACCAGGAGTCCTGTGAGGCCCCACAGCCAGCATGGCTCTGTTCTGGGGGCTGCATGGAGCCCGGTGGCCTGTGAGGAGTGGGAGCAGTGGGGCTAAGGCCATGTGGGGAGGGCACCCCACTCTCTCACTCTCATCTCAAGTGGCCTCCAGGCCCTTCTCGCAAATCCCTCCTCTGCCTCCAATCTTGGGGCTCCATAAAGGTCTTCCTAGCCTCTTCCTGCCCCTCAGGCCCTCTGAGAGTCAGGACCTAGCCCCAGGCCCCTGCTCTTGTCCCTCCATAGCAGGGAGCCCCATTTCCCTGGGCTCCCCTCCAGGCCTCCCCTTGTCCTGCATACTCGGTCCGCATCGGGGTCCCCCCGCCCAGGCTTCATAGCCAAGGCCCGGCAGAGGGGCTGGAGGGAGACCCTCCCCTGCTCCGTCCAAGTGCGGGAGCGGGTGAGAGGCGGGGAAATGAATATTAATTTATCATGATTAGGCAAATCCGGCAGGGAGAGCCGATTCCGGAGGAGGCTAAAAAGATGAATTTCAGCAATAAAATTAAATAAGGACGGACGGGCACCCCTCCTCCCTCCCGCTTTGCTGATCTCTCTCTTTCTTACAATTTATGAGGCCAATTATGAAGATGAGGTTGGAAGTTCCTGGAACTTCACTAAATGCAAACGGCGGTCCCTGCTGTTCCCATCAAATTAATTAACCGCGCGCTATTGATGGCCGCTCAAGGCTGACGCAGGCGGCCCGCCCTGCGGCCTCCTCCACGCCCACGAGGACCAGAGTCCATGGCCCAGCCGGGGCTCTGCCGCCTTCCAGGGTCCCTGCACAACACCACTGGGGACTCTCAGGGACCCCTTCCAGCCTGAGTCCTTGACATAGGGGCCTGCACCCCACGGTCTAGAGAGACAGGGCCTCACGGACACATCCTGGGCAGTTGCACACGAGGGTTCAGACGCTCACACACGCACAGGGTCCAGGACGTATGCAAGGACCCAGGCACAGGGACGAGCACAGCCCAGGGGCCGGGTGGGTGGGTGAGCTGGCTGTGTGAGGCGCACTTGGGGCAAGGACCCGAGCAGCGAGGCCCGGCGGAGGCCAGCAGGGCGAAGGCACACCTATGGAGGTCCAGGTCTCACAGCTGTGCCAGCAGCGAGCAGTGGCCTCCTGGCCTGGCATGTCCTGTCCTCCGGAAGGATCCCGAGCCTGGCCACCTCTGGGCCTGGGCCTTCTGGGTCTTTCGCTGGACTCAGCATCTACACTGACCCTCACTGTGAGGACCAGGGCTTGCTGAGCTCCCCGAGGCAGGATGGTGATGAGACCTGGCCCCTAGTCTCAGGGAAAAGACGAGGCTCCCAGCTTGGCAGGGCTGGGACAGAGCATCCCAGGAGGCTCAGATCGTGGGCACGAAATGCCAGTGGGAAATGGGAAGGGGACTCTGAGCATGTGGCAGCCGGCAAGGGCTGGGCCCAGGCTGTCCCCCAGTACCCCCAGTCCAGCACATGAGCCCCTGCCTCAGCCCTCCTGAGTGGCCGGGCCTGCAGGCATGCTCCACGACCGCAGGGTAAAGCCCGGCCTCCGACGTGGCCTCAGCCTGTCCAGCTCGAGTCACTGTGCACGGGCACACCTGGCCTGACTCTCCACCTTCTGGACTCGGCATGTGCCCACTGGATCACCCAGGACCATCCCTTTCTCGAAATGTGTCACCTTAACCACTACTGCGAAGTCCCCTTTGCCGAGTAACATGTTCGCGGGTCCCAGGAGCAGAACATGACACCTTTGGGGGCCCTCATTCTGCCGACCACCCATACGGGCTGGCCAAGGACAGTCCCGGCTTGCAGAGAGTGACGAGGGACTGTGTGAGGGCAGGAAGCCGGTTTAGGGGCCCACTCCTCCTCCCCGGGACCAGCTGGGCTTGGGCAGTGGGTTCTTGGGGTGCTCAGTTGTTGGACAGGACCCCAGTTCCCAACGGGGCTCTGAAGTTGTCTCCCTTCCAGCAGGATGGGGGAAGGGCAGGAAGCCTGCCCAGAACCAGGTCCCGAAGGGGACAGGGGACCTGGGGACCAGCACTCACTTTCTCGCTCAGACCCCAGGAACACTTTCTGTGTGGCCTCTCCCGCCCTCTCCTTCCCCTCCATAGCGCTCTGGCTCCTCAGTCAGTCACAGGGACATACCCCGAGGGGTCTCTGGAGGGTGCCGGCATACCCACCCTTTTTTTTTTTTTTTTGGAGAGGTTTTGCTTAGGGCACGTGTGTGCTCATGGGAAAGACAGAAAGAGACAGAAAGCAAGAAATCACCCCCCAGGGGGGATGGCCACGCCGCAATCCCTTCTCCTCCATTCTCCTCTCGGGATCTTGGGCACGCACACACACGCGCCCGGCGTGAGTTTAAGCTACCGGGTCCGGGACTCAAACCGCGGTCGACTACATGGGAGTCCAGCGACGTAGCCATTATGCCAACTGCTGTTACCAATACCCTCTTTATCCCTCTTGCCCTTGCAGGAGTCTGCGTGGCTCAAAGGTGGTCCCCAAGTTCTGGGCTGCCTGCGGGAAGGCGTTAAGGCGATCATGGTGGGGGTCAGACCCCTGACTAAAGGTGGCACTTGCCCGCCCTGGGGGTCTGGGAACTTCAAGTGTGGAAGGGGTCACCCCAGGACCCACTGCACACTCGCCCCCTCTGCTCCTAGCCCTGGATGTCTGTCCCTGGCCACTGACGGGAGCGATAGGAGAAACGCATCATCCACATGTGGACCAAGACATCCCAGCCTTGGGGCAGCAGGCGCGGAGGCACCAGTCCGAGAACTAGCAGAGCTTGTGAGGAGCCAGAGCCGCCCTACTGTCCCGAGCGACCCACGCCACCCTGGGGTAGCAGCTCCACACCTCCCTTGGGCCATCTCTCCAGCCCCTGTGGGCTTCGATCCTCCAGCAAGACCCACACAGGCGAGGGCTGATGTCAGCCACCCCAGGCGGCAGGGCCAGCCCCAGGACTCGGAGAGTTGACACATAACCAATACACACCCCGCCTTGCCCAGCACCCTCAAGCTTGGCGCTCACCCCTGGGGCCCACGCTCCTCCTCTCCTGCTTTGAGGGGCCTGTCCAGGCTCCTCGCTGGCCCAGTCCTCCCCTGACCTCTGTGTTGTTACTCTTAGCGCCGGGCACGCTCACACCTCCTTCCCGCAGCCCACCAGGTCTCCCCAGACTCAGCCTGGCCCTCGTCAGGAAGCTGCAGAGTGTTGAGCTGGACTGGGCAGTAGGCTCTGCACACCAGCCCTGCCTTCCTCCTTGCTGCCAGCACATGGCATCTTCTAAAGCTGGTCCTCAACTGTCCTCAAAGCCTGCCCGACTCCTCAAATGGCGACTTCCCCTCCTCCTCCAGGGAGCCTTCTCTGACTGCCTCAGCCCTGTCAATAGCACACAGGTAACCATTCAGTTGGTCCTAAATGTTTCCCAGGAGCCTTGTCACCTTTGTCTATGTCCCAGTAGCCTGGCCTAGGGCAGAACCCCCAGGAGATGCTGATGGGGCAGAGCTCCCAATCTTGGCTTCATGGTGCTTCCCCCACCTTTTAAAAAGTTGTGCCAGAGGGCGCATGCACTCCAGAGACCGTGAGTGAAAGCGAAGCAGCATCTCCCGGGGTGGGGCAGCCCCTTCTCATTCCCCTCTGGGGTGCACACACGCCCAGCATGCTTTTCAAGCCGCTGGATACAGGACTCCACCTGCACAGTTGGCCAGCTGGGACCCAGCCGCCCTAACGACGCCATTGGTGCCTCCTTCTCCCTCCCAACGCCCACACTGCTCAGTTCCGAGTGCAGGAGCTGCCTCAGGCCAGGCCCGTCTGCAGGCAGTTAGCACAGCCTTTCTGCCCCCACCCCCATCAGCTCCGCTCTCTTCCCTGCTTAGGAGGAAGAGAGCAGGCGGGACACGGCAGCTCAGACACCAGGCAGGCTGAATGGCAAATGCGCTTTACTGCACCCTGGGCCTCCAGACACAGTCCACACCGGGCCTGGGGCGCCCTCCCAGCCCCTCCAGCTGCACAGGAAGCGGTGGTGAAGACTGCATGTGGGACGGCTCACTCTCCTGCTCCAGAGGGCCTGGGGGTGATGCTGGGCCCTCAGCTGGCCCCCTCCCCTGCAGCTTCTTCCCACCTCCGCAGCCAGACCTCAGGGAGAGGGAGGGGATGCCTGGGCCTTCGGCATAGAAGCTGGCCTCGAACCAGTCACCTGCTCCTTTTGAGAATGGAGCAAGGGGCTGGCAGGGGCCGTGGGGAGGTGAGAGATGGCCGCCTGTTCCCATCTGAGAGGGAGCTGGGCAGACCCTGGGAGTGGCTGGCTCCTTC